TTTAGCAAGCTACCTGCACACAGTCAAGTGGGTTTGTGCAAAAGGTATAGTGTTATGCATACACTTAAATACTTTGCTCAATTAGATTCTCAGACACTTCTAATAAGAGGAATTGTAGTTCCATTTATATCAACCCAGGTTTTCCTGTTTGCCTAGCTGGAATGAAATTTGACCAAAACCCACCAGCCAGAGACTGAGTCAATCTCATTTACACTAAACATGGTGCCAACTCTCAGCTCAGCCTCAGTTCCAGACTACCTCATGAAAAGGGAACACATGCATGTTCAGCACAGTGTGGACTCATGGTCTCCCCTGTCCAGTCTGCTCAGCTCAACCCAAACTACCCACAGCTGTCTGAAGATCAGTCCTTCCTACATGTAAAATACTGCTGTGTGGGTGGGGAGCAGCCAAGCAGTCAGTCACCACGCTTGACCCCAGTGCTCCTCAGGCAATGCTGATGGACCGCAAAGGTGGGATTCATCTCACCTCACAGCAATACAAACATCTACGTTTAGCTGTTTGCTCCAAATCCCTTCAGTCAGTGCAGGGCAGGGGGCAATGTATGAATAACCGCCTGCTGTAGATATTCCTGTAGGCTATGAAGTCCATCGTCCTTCCATCGGCAAGCAAGGGATCCAGAGAGCTCTTGTGGGTGCAGACATCTGCAATGTAGACATGTGAAGGCAACGGACATAAGTCTCGCCCATAAACCTCACTATAACTTAGCGAAGGCTTCATCACACTTGCACCACAGCAGCTCTGCAAAAGATCTTCCTCCTGTTTTCCAAGACAATGCCATTCTTCTGACAGGTTTGCCTTTGAAAGTGGGAGTTCTCTCCAGAACTGTTAGGTGACACAATGAATTTTTTTCTGTTACAGATAATCCCACAATGCTGCTTGCCTGGAATCTGCATCAGATTTCGAAGAAGTTTGTGAATCAGCTCCTTTATTTCTCTTTGTTCATGGTTTTTAATGTGAAACTAGCCTGTCAAAACAGGACACCAAAGAGGACAGATGGCTAGGGTGAAAGGCAGATGAGGATAGCTAGCTTATTTGTGTGTAATACATACTAGAAGAAACTTCCAGATGATTCAGAAATGACCAGCTGTGCAGAGGAAGAGTTTATATAATCAATCTATAACCTTAATATGTTACATTCATTTCCTTTCTTATCTTGGTTATGCTCCCTCAGTGGTTTTAACTTTACTGGAAACTGGTAGGGAACATGGATTTCTCCCCCACCTCCTTATTCGGTTTGTTTGACCATTGCCTAAAGCATTCAACAAACAGCAAGAAATTAATTCAGAGCAAACAGCAATTTTAAAAAGCCTTCTTTCAAGATAGCTTTCTCTCAAATTTTATCTATACTTCCCTCTAAAACCTATAAAAAATTTTTAAAATCTAACTGACCTCAGGCTGCAGTATGTTGTCCTCCTGATATTGTAACTTCTTCAAAACTTGCTGCCATTTGTCTTTCTCATTATACTGGGGCTTGCTGGCTAAGCCACCTCAAAGAGAAAGAAATGCTGCAAGTAGATAAGCTACAGACAAATTACAGAGGGTACAGGATATTAAGGAACTAATGCTTCCCTCCATGTCACTGAATAACCTACATATGACTACAAGATGTTAGAAAGAGGAAAATTCTTCTAATGATTAGTTCCACATCTCAAACCATGGGAACACATAGAAGGGTTCAGCAAGCAAGAAACCAGTGAATTACTATTAGTGATACATAGATTCTGTTCTCTGAATGCTGTCAAGTGACTGAAAACATTCAGTATTTTGGTTAGTGTGGAATTAGGATCCCTGCAGTTTTCCCACAGAAAGTTTGTCTTTGGGAGGCAGAAATGTCTCCAGGACTAAAATGACAAGACAAAAGGAGCAGACATAGAAGTCAACTGCACCCAAACTTTTTCTGTGAAGAGCTATCCTGCCATGAAGTAAAATCAACTCACATTGGCACAAGAGACAAATGCGGAGGGAAGACTTCAACATCTTTTCATTCATATAGATGAACATCCGTCTGACATTGGTACAAATGCCTCTGTCTAAAAAAACACAGTAGATGCCTGCGTGACATGCAGAAGACAGGAAAATAGTGCTTGGTAAGGAACATCATTTTTGTCTACACATTGTCTATGGCTGTTTGTGGCTGCCATGTCTGAGAGAGCCCAGCTGCTGGTGACCAGAGGGCACTCTGACCTGGACAGGAGCAGAAGCTGATGCGAGACTGTGAGCTAACCAGTGTGTCACCTGGACCTGAGGACTGGTCCTCTTTGCTGTTTGCAACCAGCCATTTGCTTGCAGAAGCAGTTATTCCAGAGAACTTGAAGCCTCTTATTCTCAAATGCCAAGTTGAGGAAATAAAAATTAACACTGAACATGCAGCAGACCCCAGGAGTGAGAAGGGGAGCCAGTACAGTAATGTGAATCTCTTCACTCCTCCAATGGACAGCACAGATAGTTGTGGAAAGAAGATATCTTTGGCTTCCCTACAGAGATTGAGAGCTGAGATTAATGGCAACTGGGAGGGCTGTCTTTCCCTTTATACCATGCATGCTTTAAAGCTATGGCCTCCTGCCATCTTGAAACATAATCTTGTGCTATTGTCTTCATTCAGACCCCTCATCCGCAATATGAAAAGAGAGAAGAAGCTGGTGGCAGGATTAGAGGAGAGGTTGAAATATTCTGGGCAGCATATGCTGTAAATCACATTATACAGAATATTTCTGGACTGCTCATTGGCTAGGGCTTCTCTTCTGGAAGCACTGCTGCTTGTAAAAATGAAAACCTGGTGAAAAGTGTTTGTAACACATCAGAGCACAGCATATGACACATTGTATGCACAGAGACAAGCACTGAAAATATTTTTCAGGCACTGCCTGCCCTTCTCCTAGGTGATCCTTTTGTGCTTGTCAGGGTTATGCAAGATGCATGGGAAAAGAGGAGAAAGAGAAATGAGAATAATTCTTCAAAAGGGTATTAATAAAAATCCATAAATTACTGTCACCAGATGACCCATCTCAACCTTAAAAATGAGTACCTTAGTCTTGGAAGGCTGTTTGGGACCCTCGTTGCTTCAGAAGTCAGAAACCACCTTTTTTTGTCCAGTTTAAATTTATTCATGGCAAATCACACCCCTTTGTTCTCAGACTACCAATGTTCTTAACTGAAATTATTTTCCTCACTTGACCATAATGTATTTACACAGAATAGTCATATTAAGACTTAGTTTTATTTCACTAAATAATACAAGCTCCTTTAGTCTCCTTTCTTATCTCCACTCTCGGTCAACCTTCTAGTTCTTCTCTGCACTGGTTCCAGTTTGCAATCGCTTCTCTGGACCATAACCAGACCAGACCAGATCATGACTGACCAGACCGAAACAGAGGGTTCCACATGATACATGAAATTATATTTCTTGTACTATTTTCTTTTTTTTTTCTGAAAAGAGGCTCCTCTTTGACCTATACACATAAAGGAAAACCACCTAAAGTGAACTTCCCATCTCTAAAAGCTATTTGGGAAGTTCTAAATGTTCAATCTTCTTTGGAAACCCTCAGCTGTACAAGATTTCCACAACTGACACATATCCTTCTGAAGTCTGGTAAAAATTTACAAGGGCAACTGCATTCTTTTAAGATGTCAAGTTCAGTCTTGGTGGCATGTTTTTCAGCTTTCATTAAACTGTCTTCAAATGCGCATCATTACTATTGTTTGGGCTCCTGACACTTAGCAATGTGGTCAGATATTTTTCCTGTCATGTAGGAAAGCAGTTTCCTCTTTCAGTTCAAAAAGCAGTACATGGCCTTGTCTACAACTTGGAGCATCTTAGCAAGTTTTCACAGGGGTTACCATTACTTTTATTGCAAACAACTTCCTAAGTAGCAGAAACACACAATTATGTCTTGCCTCAAGTCCCATTTTTGCTAACAAAAAAGGTTAAAAGTTGCCAAAAGCTTTCCATATAGAGGAAAAATAATTTCTTCTAAGGAGCTGGGAGGGCTAGAGAGAAGACATACTATTAAAAATTTCATTTACACTACCATGCAAAAGTGCAGCAAGTTTCTAAATGGAATCATAATTCTAAAAGGGATCTTCAAATTTCCAGAAAGATACAGATTTACTGAATAAAGTTATGGTTCGAATTATTGTCTTTCCTTCAGTTTGGGGATTTAGATGTGTTGAATTCTCACCCTTTTAGATCAAGCACGTCTTCCCCAAATTGTAATTTCAGATCACAGAAAGCACAGGGTTTTCACTCTACTGATGTGTAAGTTTCCCAGCCACTGGCTCACACCTCTTCCCCATCCCCTGTGGAACAGTCATGGATGAGTCAGCTACCCGCCTTCACCTCAGCCATTCCATTTTTTAAACTTCTCTCTCAAAAGCATGAAGTAAATTCAGATCTAATTATGGCTTTGAGCTGCCATAAGCTCAAAAAGATACAAAAAATGCTAAGGAGGGACTCCATTTAGTCACTGCGATTTTCAGCAAAAAGACATCAACTAATTTTCAAAGGGCAAGTACAGTGCTACTGCAAGAAAGCTGCCCTCTAAAATTGTATGGAAGGACCATCTCTTCATACACGTCTCACCAAGTAAGCTTTGGTGGCTACTCATCTGAGTCACATTTAAAACAAAACGCAAGAACTGATAGCTTCTGTGCCATGCCCGCAGACTTTTACATTTGAAGGCTATAATTATCTCTGATACCAGAGCAACTTCATACTGTGCTAAAACCTTGCTAGTATTTCCTTCATAAAGTAACAATCTTTGACATGAACAGTATTTAAGCATCACCACAGAGATACAGCAAAAAGACACATATAACAGGCAAAAGATAGAGCAAAAGAGGAAATTTGAATGGAGTTACATTCTGACCTAATGTTTTAAGAGGTCATCAACAACCTTTGTTTGCACAACAAAGCAGGGTCAGACAGATTTTCTCAATATTTCTCAATACTTGCAAATTCTCCATAAAACCAAGCACAAAAATGAGAGGACACAGTTTTAATTATGCCTGCATAAGTATGAAAGAGTACTGTTGATTAAGAAGGAGTTACAAAGCCACATAAAGTATACATCTATGTTGCAATAAGAAATTAAATGCAATAAAACCTATATATGAATCTTTTCAGTATCTGTCCAAGTTTTGGAGCTGAAACATTAATTCAAAAGCACTGCCTTGCACAGATCAGATTATTCTTCCTTGCCAAACAGATCATCCAGAAGAGGTAAGTACTTGATCTCTTTCACACGAAAGATTGGTGGTTGTCTGGTCCAGTCATCTTCATTCTGAAATTAGTAACCCAGAGAGTAACTTAGAATATAATGTTGAAAACAAGAATAATTAAAAGCTGATCAAGGTAAGATTGAACGAGCTGCTTCATTTCCTCATAATAAATCTTTGAAAAAGTGGATCTTTATTTAACACATCCTCTTAAAAGATTACTACATGCACATTTTTATCAATCTTGCAGAGTATTGTACTAAAAATATTTTCTCTTATTAGCCCTTCTGCAGGTATTTTTAAATTAAATAATACTGTATTTTCTTCACTGAGGCATTTATACTTCAAAGTATTGGAAGTCATCTATGTTTCAACACCAAAAATCATACAAAACAAAGAGATAAAGAAGAAGAAAGTCTGCTGAATAAGCACAAATCTGTTGTTGAAATCTATCTGTCAAATACAGCTACTGCAGCCCCAAATATTGCTGTTAATTCATGGTAAGTCATGAACAGAATGACAATTGGTTTCTAAAGTTAAACAAGATCTAAATCCCTCCCTTTCTCTGATTTTTCTATTTCCTATTATCTCTTCATTATAATAGTCTTGAACTGTACCAAAGACAGAAGAGGTATTGCAGCTAACAAAATAATAAAGCCAATAAAACTCAGTAAACTATGCTGGCACCAATTTGGACACTGTTAATTAAAAACAGTGCTTTATGTCAGTGTGACAGTTACAGCAAGGCTTTGGAGTTGATGAGGAACTGATTATCCCAGCATGATGATGACTGGTGATAATTTCTATGGATGCTCTTTCTCTCTTTTTTATTTCAGCTGCAATCTTCCTCCCATATCTCCATGTACCGTTCTCAACAGGGGCTCTTAGACATCAGCTCATCCACTGGCTGTCCTCCAAGCAAAGATAACGTCGTCTTCACACCAAAACAAAACCTAATCTCTTATGCTGATCAGGACATGTGTTTCACCACAAATGTCCACTTCAACCTCCTGCTTGTTTCACAAGAACCTTCTCCTCCACATCTTCACTACATGAAAGCTGCCTCTTGGTTCTACCACCACCTGTACCTCACCTTCAACCTGCAGGAGCTGTCTCTTTCCCTCACTTGCCAGAAATCGGGTCATGCTCAATGGCTAGATAAGCTATCATATGAGAGGAAAAAAAGCAAGTCAAACATGTTCAACAGCTTTTTGGTGTAGAGCTTAGCGCCATCTTCAAGGCAAAAAACCTCTGGGCACAGGTTCTGACCTTCTTTCTGCTTCTGTGATACTGAGGCTCAAGAGGCCTCTTATCCTAACACAATCTCCTGAAAGCAGTCACTGCTTAAACACTGAGTTATAACTTAAGCACAGAATTCTTCTGTAAAACCGAAGAATACTCACTGAACAAAACATAGTACACACTTTGAACCACAGGACTGCTGTATAAAACATGTGGAAGAGCTTTGATTTTATCTGTACGAGATGGAAAAATTCTTCTCAATGACAAAGTGAAAAATAAACCATGATGAAATGCAGAGCAAACCAGCAGTTCATTAGACATTGTCGGTTTGAGATGCTACAGAAGAAAGAGCTGCTAAGCCAAGTAAGAGAGGAGTCAGGTTAATAGCACAGTACTTGAGGAATATTGTTTTAAACTATGTCACTGATGAACTTGAATTTAAAGGAATGCTATGTTTCTAAATGGTCTGAATACAATCAAACGCATTCTGTACAAGCATAGCAACACATTGCCTAGGCCAGAAAAGCGAAACTATGTGTTGGCAGAAGGGTTTTGGATTTATCCACCACAAAGTCTTTAAAAATCAGCATAATTGCCTTATGCACCGTTTATTTTTAAATGTTCCATTCAGAACAAGATGGCAAGATTAGATTCATATTTGTTGATACCACGTTTTTGTTTACCCTAAGTAGCAGGCTGATGGAGATGTACAAAGTTGATCCATCAGTACTGCTCTTGCTGCACACCTACCGGTGATGTGGTGCCTTGTGCACAAGTTTTTATGGAGTTATAAAAAATACATAGCTATTTTCTGCCGTGTCAGCGGAGTTTAAATTATTTCCTGTCTCAGCAAGCAAACAGATCATTTGACATATGACGATGCCATTTGTGGGTGAAGCAGTATTCACGCCAATTGTTCATGGATAAATACACGTGTTTCCCCTTCTTTTTGTTTTTTTTTTCTTTTTTTTCTTCTAGAAAAATGTCACAGAGATGTGACACGTATTAAGCACAGGGGTGTTACAGGGTTCCTCATCCCTGTTTGACTTCTCTGCTTCATTCTAAACCTCCTGGAAAAAAAATAATTACTTAAAGAAAAAAGGCACAAACACGCAAATATGAAAACTGTTGTGGTCTACACTGGATAAAGCACTCATGTTAAAGTTGGCAAATTATATCAATGTACTGTACTGTTCTCTTGCTGAGATACACTGGCTTTACCTTGAGAGATAAAAATGTACCTTTATTGTCTGGAAAACAGGAATTGGATTCTCTCTCCAGTTCAGCCCATCCACAAACTTTTTATATTCCACTTGCTTATCGTCATCTTCAGACCTAAGCAGAATATACATAAACTCAAGGTTAAAGGAAATTTTTTAACAAAGTTGTATCATGTTACTACCTACAGCATACTAATACATTACCTTTTGGATAATGGTTTTTTACTTCTTTATTACCAAAATCTGGCTGGAGTACAGAAAGACACAAACTGTCAGGACTTCTATAACATGCATTCTATTTCTTATTTTACACCTCATTATTGTCTCTCATAGTAGAATTCAACTTCTTTATGGCTTATTATATTTCAACTACTTTCATTTTATTTTTGAAGCGTTTCGCAAACTTTTCAAACAAAGGGATCTCACAACTGGTGAGGAACATAGAAGTGGGACAGTCAGTGTATGATTCCATTGTGTAGAAAAGAAACAAGTGCAATAACATGAGAGTGCTGTGCTATAAAACAACTGACTTACTTTATACAGCTTCTACAGAAAATAAGCAGTCCTTCAAAAATGCTGTTTGCACACGCCTTGGAATTAATTTACAATCGACAAACACAGCTCTCTATCCTATCAAATAACAGCCAGATTTAAAAATCACAAACCTTGTCATTCAGTAGTTGGTTTATGGCATTGTTCTTTATGTCGATGGAACAAATTTATATTTGTGTTAGGTATGAAGGTCCTCTAAATGCATGAAGATACATATCCTGCCAGTTGAGGTCTACAGGTACATGTGGAACATAGTATCTCCCTCCCTTGAGTTTCTAAAATCACTACCCTGCACTAATAAATCCCATGAGAGCAGATCTGTAAGCCACATCATACTTCTGCCATTGATCATACATCTGCCATTCTGCCATTGAAACAGCTTCAGAAGAGAAGTCCCCAGTTCAGCAAAGCACTCTGGTGATTAAGGCCCTTGGGAACCACTGTTATATCCATGGCATTAGTCAAATACTTGAAAGATATCCACAAGCTAAAGCTACCATGCAAATCGTTCTTGAAATGAACAGCTTAACTGCTCTGCTACAAATACTGTACTAGCAGGTTCCGTAAATAACATCTGAATGACATCTGTCTCAACCAACACTAATAGGTAAAAGGGCCCTGGTTTAAGCATATAAGCAAAGCCTGGAAATGTCTGTGCCTCACTGGGTTCCATGGAGAGACATACAACTAGCAAGACTCAATACCTGTTTTTAGCAGGAAACACCAGGTTAAACAATTCTGCCCTGTAATCTGGCAAGACAAGGAGCAAGAGCATCATCAGGAAACAAGTCTTTTAGAAAATCATTCTATCTCGTTCTTAGAGAAATAGCACTACACAAAGCATGGGCCTCAAAACCCTTCAATCACTGCAGAGGGTTCTGGTAAAAATTAAGCATGAAGGTACTTCAAGAGACAATTTACAACACAAACTTGGAAAACAATAACAGAGAAGAGGAGAAATAAATCTAGTGACAAAAATAAACTGCAATAAACTGCAGCTCATCCTCTCCTTCTCCTCCCCCACCCCCCACCATTCATTTAATAGTCAGCAGGATAGATAATAATAAAATACACTGAGACCCATAAACAGAGATGCTAGTGATAAACTGGAATGTTAAGTACAGTGAGTTATGCTGAAGATGAAAGAAAAGTCAGAAAAGAATGCTACTGTTATTAGTGTTTAAAAGGAGCCTTAAACATTGCCATGAGAAACCCTCCTTTAATAGCTTGCTTCTTTACAATAGCTCATGTGCAAGTTAACATTTTCATAAAGCCTTACTTTTGGGGAATATATTCAATATACAAGAAAATTATCATTCCCACTTCTAGGAAGTTCTTGTTTGTTTCAGGTTTACTGCAAGTGGCAATTGGGAAAAGAAAGCAGTTTTGCATTAGGAACAGCTTATACCTCGTGGAAAAAATATTCTGAATTTCAGAGCTATGATGACAATTAATTTTGTTTTGCCATAATATGTATTTATATTTTCCTCTTTGTGATTAAGTCTTTTCCTCTTTGTGATGAAGATTAAGTCTACTGCCAAGATGCAGAGATGTATAGGAAGGATTTTTAAATAAAGAACAAGTGAAGGCATGTAACTACTTAAACTTATGTTAAGGCAATGAAGTCAAGGAAAGCATTGCTTCTGCTTTTGACAAACATTAACAAGGAGAAGTCCTTTGATGTGACAGCACCGTCAAACTGAGATGACAACATGGGCAAGAAGTTAACTATAATCAAAGATTTTAACATGGGCAGAGGAAATGGGATTCCTAAATCCCATATTTAAATAGCTACAGAAACCAGCTTAAAACATTACTCTAGAATTATCCATAAAGAAAGAAAAAAAAAATTTCTACTCTTTAGATCTCTTTCCTGCTATGACTTACTATATCAATCTACTAAAAGCACACACCTGCAATTTGGCAGAGAATCCAGATGGACTGAGGGGACGCTATCAATTTGTGCATTATTAGGACAAAGATATCATACATTATGGTGGCTGGAGTAAATACAACTGAAACTGACAGTGCTTTTCAGGAAAGGAAATAAGATTTGTCTTATCAAGAGGATGCAACAAAGATCTCCTGAAACCATGCTTCTTTTCAGTTTTGCCCTGTGACTTCACCAATAAATGTGATGTTAGGCTATGAAATTACTCCCCCATCCCTATCATAGTTTGCAGAGGTTTGTTCTTTTCCTTTGACATTACAAAAATAATTGTACATTTCCTCTTCTAAAAATATATCCATAATTAAATATTCCAGATACGTGAAAAATCTGGTTAAATTTCATTATGACCATTCCTGAGCATGCTTTGGTGAGTAAAGGTTAATTACAAATTTTTTTTCTTTCCCATTAAAAATCTGTAGCCCAAGCATTTATGTGAAAAATTAATATACATGCAGTTTTTTCTAATTCCTTGGTTTTGAATAACATATATTAAGAAGTTAGTCCAATAGTAATAGAGAAGAAGCATCATGCTGCTTTAACCTTAGAAAAAACATTGGGATTCTTCAACCTTTTTGATAGTCTTTGTGAAACATAGGTATACACCTGAGCTGTCATAAACTACTCATATGAAAAGATTTAAACCAGCAAGCATAGACAAGTCTATGTGGCTGATCAGTATGAATTAAGTAATGGCTACCATCTTGTGTATATATTTATTCATGTCTTGAACAACTACAGATTGAACTATAAGTTCCTCATCATACTGAATAACAGAAATAATTTCCTTATAGAGATACAAATATTAATGCCGCAGAGTCTTTTCACCACAAATGGCACAGGGAGTCTCAGACATCAAAGGTAATGAGCAGAAGACAGAGTGCAGGAGGAAGATTCTGTGACCATTTCTGATCTTGCTCCTGCTAAAAGGACCCTTGCTATTGCAGGAAAACAGGGTTTGCTTCCTGAAAGAAACAGGTCAGCCCTAAAAGAATATTATTACAGGTAGGCAACTAGGTAAAAAATTATGACCCAGTCACAAACCAGGGAAAAGCTGAGCAGGCAGGAGCTGCTTGGCCTGGCCTATTAGTGACTTGAGAGCTGGAATGACCATGTAGGAGGCTTATTATTATCAGGCACTGCTATCTGAGACACTATGAATACACTTTTTCAAAACAACAAGCCCCCCTCCAGAATCCAACAGTCTCACCTGGGTACTGTGGAGAGGTGAAGAGCTACACAGCCACTTTTAACAGAAATTAAAAGGCATACTTTTTAAAATAGAGACATACACTTAACAAAACTAACGCAGAACAATCAATGTGTAATACTAGTAAACTTGTCATCTATTCTTTCTTCTCTCCATTTTTCTTTATCTGCCAGCTGTACCTCTGGGGAAGGGCTGGATCTCTTTAAGTCCTCATTAGCATACATTTATCATTGCAGTAAATAAAAATAACAGGAGAAAAAAAAAACAAAACAAATCAAAACTGAATTCATTACTTAAACACTTTAGCAATATTTATTTATTAAACTGCAATTGTTCATTATGCCTACATTAATTTTAAGAAATGCTTATAATTACTACTGTAGTTTTCTAGCAGAAACAATTGCTACCATCTGCATAGCTTAATACATTCTGAATAAAAGTCTGTATTTCCCAGGGATTAAAAATCCAAGTGAGAAAATGCTTATGGAGAAAGGAGGTACTTTTTAACAAGCCAGTTCAGGTAAATTGGAAAAATGGACATACTGTTGGGTACCTATATCCTACTATTTCACCATCCCACAATTAAAAATATAAATTTACTCTCAACAAACAATATGAAGGGGTCTTATGAAACCTCAGTATTTGTGCTAATTCTCTCTACTCTCTGGAAACTGAATGGTCTTTGGGTACAGTAAACGAAGGTTTGGGTCATCTGGGGGTGACCACAAAATTAGACAGTAATTTCTAGTCCCATCCCATGCTTTTAATAAGTGACAGATCACTGCAGTATAATTTACAAATGTAAATAATAAATTCTGTAAGAGTATTACCTTTCAAAATGGAACCATTAAGTCCTACAGAAAGTCTTTGCCACCTAATCTCAGATAGCAAAGCTGCATAAACACAGTTTCAGTCTTCAACTATTATCTGATCACATTGTCTAGCATCATTTTAAAGCTGAATAGGGTCCAGCTAGTGCATTAGCTATATATACTGATTTTGTGGGAATCAATCCAACAACTTTTATTGTACTAATTTCTTCCTTCATAAATACAGATATGCACAGTAGGACTACCACCACCACTTCAATGGACACAAAATTACATGCTTCCTCATCAAAAGAAAAAAAAAACCTACCCAGAGAAAGAATATTGCTGACAAACTGCCCACACTGAATCATATAGTCCCAGGAGTATGCAATTAACAATAACATTAACAATAAACCTGCCTGTTTATGATTCTTTTATCGTCAAGAAAACTACAAGAAGCAAGAGGAAAGAAAAAATCTAAATCTCATGCAGATAACTCTACTCTTCAATTTATAGATTACTTGGAAATTAATTCCTATTTAATAGACTCCAAAAAAATATTTCCCTAACTGCAACCTCATGAAACAATAAACTTACCAAGCAGTGCCAACTGCACACATTATTAAGACTGTGACACTCTTCCTTCTTACCTGCAGCACAGTGACTCACCACATAAAATGCCATCTTTCAAAGTAGCTGATACTCTAACTTAGAACTGGCATTGCACATAGCACTCTACTACATGAAGTACTTCTCACATTGATTTCTGAGGTCAGCTTCACACCATTTACCTTTCTGATACAGAAATCTACAATACAAGCTTGCACAGCCCCTTTAGACACAAAGGAAAAAGGGTGGTAATTTAGAAATCCAGCTCTTATACAGGTTGAGGTGATAACTGTCTCCTCCTCCATCACCTAGAAAAAGAACCTACAACAGCTGAACCCTAATTCAGCTGTCATGGGTACCTGGCTAAAGCTGAGTGAAATCCAGGCTTAGTCTCCTCCTTGTCTTCCAAGCTTATCTCTGATTTTTATTAAAGTGTACTGGGCTTTTTCTTGTTAACTGCCTACACTGACACTCTTCAGAAGAGAAGAGGTTCATCTCACAAAAGCTTTTTCTGGTACAAATTCACAAACAATAAACACATCTCTGGAGCCTATGATGTGTCAAGGCTTGTCTGTTTTTCATCAGTACTGCATTAGTACATAAATGAAAGCCTCCAGTCCCTTCTCTGTGAATCTATTCAATTTCAGCCTTAATAAAATGGAAACTATGAGAAGCCCTTGTGTAGTACAGGATGTCAGTTGTCCTCCAACAATTTTTGTGTTGGGCAGCTTAGTGGGAGTTCTGAAAAATGAGGTTTAGATTAATGCTAAAATTCAGATATACTTCTGATGACTAATGCTTGTTACCTAACTGTCAGTGTTGAACAGCAAATAAATTGCCAAAGGTGTCTATCTGGCTACTGCAGGGAACTCTTCTGAAAGCTTTTGGCCTGAAAACAGGGCCTTTTTGAAAAATAGCCCCTTAGGCTTCTTAATGCAGTCTTGTTGATACTGGTTTAAGTAGGAAGTCTTGCTTGCAGTACAAAGATGCTTTATTAAAACAGATTCCACATTTAAACCTGAGTAATTTCATTATTTGATGCTTAGTTTGCAATTCCTCCTAAAATCAAGCATTTAAATTTAAGCATTTCCCACAGGGAAAGAAGAGACCAATGAGCATGCATTTAAACCTGTTACCAGAAAATCTGGCCATGATAACCAAACTCAACATTACACAACATTTGAACAAGTGTTCAAAACAGCACAGGTTACTCTCAACTCCAGCCTTTAAAACAAGTGCACTGAATACTAGACCTTTCCAGTTCTATTCCCATTAATACAGCTAGCCAAGCAATTTGCTTTGAAACAACTAAATGTGCTATGGAAAAATACCAAAACCATACCAATGCTCCTTTCCCTTTTTAAAAATTACAGTAATATATATTTCAGGTGAGATTAGTAGGAGTAGCAAACCACTTTTATTTGCTACTGATGCTGTCTACTTGATTCAAGATCATTTCACTGTATTCATCTCAGTACGTTTGTTAAAACTCGTATAATGTGCTTCCATAAGACTATTGGTTTTACCTTACATATACACAGGAACAACTAATGCAAGAAAAGTAAATTTCATTGATAAGGGAAAGTATCAGTAGCTGTTTCCCATAAGACAAATTCCATAGAATTCTGACAAAATCCAGATGATCTACCATGTCAGATAAAGAGAAGTTGCACCTCAGACGATTATAAATATTCTATAAGTCCACATTTGAATAGGGACAAAAAATCAGCATCATGAAAAGATTAACATTACATAAATGACAAATTCTTAAGACCTATGTCTCCAGCAGATATTTAGCATTGATTTGCACCCCTGCATGCAGGTCATACTACCTGCTTTTAACTTACATGGTCAATAAAGCTTGCAGATCATCATCAGCCAGTGGCAACTTAAACGACTTGCAAATAGTCCTGCACACCTCACGGGGCAGCACTCCACATCTACTCAAAAGAAAGAGAAGGGCAGAAGTGTACATGAGGTATTTTCCAGATTGATTTCAAATGAATGTTGCTGTAAATAGGAAAACATGTAAAGAGTATCAGGCTAGAGGTAAAGAAAACAAGGTTTTATGAAATTCAGCTACTATAAAGCCGAGAAGCTTGAATTGAACATGATGGCCTGTCTCTCCCATGCTGATGTCCTTAGTGATTCTCTGTGATTCTTTATCTATGCTACCAGGGTACAAAAAGGGCAAATGAGTCATACAAAGATTCAGCTGCAAATACATCTTTTTTTCCATTAAATCACTATTTTTCCTCTTTGTTTTAGAACACTGTGTTTTGCCTGTGAATGGGCATCTCATTATGTCACAGAATGCTCAGGACAGAATCTATAATAAAAAGTCCAGCAGCAAAATGAAAAAGAGATAAAAAGGCTATCCTTTTCTTTCAACTCTCAAATGATGAGAGAGGCTTAACAAACAATATTCTTTGGCTGCAATATATAATTTGCTCAGCAACAACCAGAAAAGTAGGTCTACAAGCAGAGATTTCCAAATAACAGCTTAGGATAAATAGAAGAATCTTACTTTTCACGGTCATTGTATTGAAGCACTGCAGTCAGTTGTTCAAAATTCTCAAACCTATTTTTCTTTAGTTGTTCTTGAGCCACTGCAAGGAGGTAGTGGAGGTCTGTTTCACGTTCATCTTTCACACCGTAATAACGCCCAAGAGTCATCATTTCATGGTCTGAAAATGCTTCACCAGTGATACTGACTATCAAATTTCTGTTCACAAAAACAACAGCCTACATTACATTTCAGTATAGGAGTTAAAAACAGTTAATAATCACTCAGTTTTATGAGAGGAAAAAAAAGTGCACTCATTATATAATGCTGTATTCAGACCTTTAAAGAATGCATCTACTTAAATTTGAATTTCAGATCTCTTCCATAATGGAAATTACCTGAACTCTTAAACTTTGCAGGATGTCCACATTTCCTCAGTAGTTGGCTAAACATACAAAATTACAAAATAATCATGACTGAAGCCTTTTTCCAGAGATACCATACTGGCATGGAATATCAGCAGAGATATTTTGGCATCACATTTATGCAAGAGGATAGTGAATTAACAAAATTCTAACAACAAACACAATTTTTCACTTGCTTCGTCTCAGAGGCTTGTGCAGTCCTGTTCTAAGAAGATGTCTCTTTGCAAAATACAATTGTACATACACAGCTATTCAAAAAAGGATGCTAAACACAGTACAGTGTCTACTTTGAGCTACTGGTTTTTTTTTATTAAGTAGATTAAAAACATCCTTTATGTACAGTGGCAGGAGATAAATATAAGGAAAAAACAGGTTGTCGACAGTAGCAAACCTTGAGATTATGCAGACTTAATGACCAAACCTCAGTAACTTACTATTATGACTTATATTGTAGCAGCATTCAGAGATCCAGTCAAAACTAGAGCCTGGAGTAATAGTACTGCAAACACAAAGAAGAGGACAATACTGCCAGATTAGCCTGGCACTCTAAATGCTTGGGCTGGCAAAACTGAAAGCATGAACACCATCCATCTGAATATTTCCACTAGATTCTTCTAGTGTCAGGATTTTAAAGGTCTTTTATTTTCTCAAGTCAGTTAACAATCAAGTCACTAAAACTCTTAGATAAAATTACTGTCTTATTTGGGAAATTAAGCACTATTTTTGTGATTGCTAGGGACTACTGAGTGAGACCCAAGATTCACAAATGGAATTACATCTAAACTCTTCCTGACAAAAAGAAACAAATTGCAGCAATTGTTCCCACAGCCTAGTTATCTTTTGTTTTACTTTTCTTCTTGTTCTAGAAGAATAAAACAGATTGCAATCTGAATTTGGTAGAGAAAGAAAATATAACCATTAAATGCTTAATAGAGCTGTGTCCAAAGCTGAATTGAAGATAGGCATCTTTGTTAAACCCACATGGCTCTTTTGTCTTTAACAGCAAACAGTCTTGCCAGTAACTTAATGAGACAAAGAAGCTTGGATAGAACCATGGGATGCACAGGCATCTACGCTTTAGTTCTTTCTCTCTTCTTTTTTTAACAAAGCTTTCAATAGTTTTAATGATAGCTTAGGGGATAGCTTCAGTGCACACCATGCATTTATTTTCTGGATGATGTGCCATAGATTTGGGTTCTGAAAGTAGTTAAATTGTATAATTACAATTTTGTTCACTACATCATACTTATAGGTGTATTTTTAAATGCAGCTCATAAATTCACTTAGGTAGAAAGCAAGAAATCTGAACAGCCAAATCCAGAGCATAGCAAAGCTTTAGCTGTATTTAAGATAAGAGGATTATCATGCTGGTTGAAGCTGTCACACAGATAATTGCCTTTACTAAAAATAATCATTTATAGCTAGTCAGAATTATGAAATGCCATGACAGATTAAAAATAAACATTGATGTACACAAGAAAATACAAAACTGAAAGGAAAATACAAAACTGAGAGAAAAATACATTCTATTCACAGAAAAATATATTTGACTTTTCAGAGATGCAAAGAAGTGCTGTCATCTTTGCCAGTAAAAATGTTTCTTCCATTCTGATAAGACACATGGATAATAAAAAGAAGAGAGCCTTTAGATTACTGATTATAATATAAATGAACAGAAACAAAACCTACTCTCACTATAAAGCACAAAAGTTAAATGTTCGTAAGAGGTAAATTCTTCCTCTGGCCATGTGAATGCTTCCTGTTAGACCCCCTGTGGTCCCACCACAGGAGGGATGTAGGCCATTAGTAGCTGTTCAGCCTGGCCCAGGTGAGCATTGAGGGTTAGACAACACTTATTACAGGGTTCCCCTGCTTCCTCTCTTGCTCATGAAGAGGGCTACTGCATTTTTATTACTGAAACCAAGTGCCTCAATACCATATAACTAGACATACCTACTTCAAGCTACAGAACAGCACTACCCTAAATTAAACAGCTGGGCTGTTCACAGCTGCACAGAATATGACTATGATTAAATTTACACTCAACTGAGCCTCTTTTTGATAAAATTAAAACCTTTCTCTGCTGTTTGAAAGAACAATCATCCCTCCTAAAAGTGTGCTCCACTAATTTTGTCATGCAAATATTCTGAACTTTGACCTGCTCCTAGTGCATGTAAGAAGATGAAGTTTTGCAGATGATTATTTCATAATTTAAATAAAAACTGTAATTATTTTATTTTAAATGGTTATTGTCCATATAAATTAAAACCCTATTCCAAGTGCTATAAAGTATATCCAGATACACATTAACTTTAATTTTCTCCCCTTCTTACTCTAGTAATGACATTTCCCCTTCCAATGCAATTAACAATTCAAAATCTTGCTTCTGTCAAGTAAAATATTTGAGTCTTGAAATATTTGACCAAAAGCTGCCAATTAGTGTGGCCTCTTAGTTTAAATCATACCTTTTAATCACTTATTTTTAATTTCTGAATACCAGCTTGTTTTAATTTCTCACTACTTTGAATTGCTGGAAGAACCTTACGGTGATCTATATCTCTTCTGAGATATTGCAGAAGCAATTTCTGCCTTGGTTAACATCCCTATCGGGCTGGCATTCCACACAATACACACCTACTTATATGCTTTAGTCATTATGGCAGTTCCTAAATACATCATGTATTACCACTGTGAAAAACAATTGCTTCTAGATAAAATTTCCTCCTCTATTCCACATCATTAACTTTACCAGCACCCAACACAGTTCATATGCTCAAGTATTCTGGCTGTGGAATAAACTGAAATCAGCCTGCATCTGAGCATGACTTCCTCTTTCATGTATCTATACATTTGCCCATTGCCATATCTGGATCATTACCAGAATCAGTAATTAAAACCCCAAATAACATTTTCAAGAGGTAACCCAAACATTACTTCTTGAAGACTATGGACTTTTCTTTACCTTTCAATGTGTATATTACTGCTGACTTCTTCACAGTACCCTGTGCTATCTCCATAAAAAGTAGAAAGATTTGAGTTGTGCTTTTCAGCTTACTTGAAACTACCACATTTTTCCTTTTTTCTGGAACATGGATTCTATGATTCTGATTGACTTTTTCACACACAATCTCCAAGTAAATGCAATCCAAATGTACGCCACTTGTCAGCTAACACCGATGCAGAAAGCATCAAGAAAGTCATGCTCTGTAAATTTTGGGGGAATGCGCCCTCATTAAATACTAAAAACCAAAATCCACTGTCTTACCTGAAAGCATCATACTCAATCACCTTGTTATGGTCTGGGTCGGTGGCTGCAAACAACTGTCTGATTTCCCAGGAACGAGGTTTGGTTATAACTTTCAGCTTCTTGAGGATGACACCAACATCAGCCACAGAGAACTTAACAGAGAAGAGCAAGACATAGATTAGAGAGAAAACCATTATGCAACCAACTATGCATGTACCAACAATAGTTGTCAAGAAGCAGAGGAACTGTGAACTGCTAAGAATTATCAGTTTCTCCATCGCCTCACTTCAAATGCATAAATAAGCACCGTGTGAAGTTTGGCCGGAACTTTGGTACTGAAAAAAATTTGCTTCCTGCCAAGAATATAAAAAAATTAAACAAAAAAAAATTAGATCATGCACTCTCAGGAAGCTATTCCATCTACATAAAAGGAGATACACTCTCGCTTCAAATATCGTATTGCTAAAGAAGAAGTACAAACATTTAAAGTAGAGTTCCAGTAACTTGTTCTTCGTTTTATGTTGGTGCACCTCACTTAATTCTCAATTAATAAACTTCACCAAGTTAAAACTGATGTTTTCACGATTGTCTTCAATTAACTGTTCCAACATATTCTCATTCATATTAGACTATGCTGTCTTACATACTTAGAATTAGCAGAACGAAAATCTGTTAGGAACCAGTTTCTCTAGAAATGGGTTTTTAAAGTCTCTATGACACTGCCAGAACAGCACAATTTGGTCCAAGTTTAATTATTACATCACTGGTTGCAGGTAACATTCTTAGATTTAGAAAATATGATCACTGCCTATGCCAAAACTCCAGGTACAACCCTGCCATGCAATGCCATGCAAGGCAGTGGTGTGGAGCAGCTGGACAAGCAATCAAAAAGTTTTAGAGACCACAGTAACATTTTTAGCTCCTTTCCCAAATGGCACCAGCAGTCCTCAAATCATGCTAGGCCTACTGATGTCTTGGGAGTCCTGCAGGTTCACTCATTTTAATGAGCCAGCAGACACTGAACAATTAAAACTTGCACTATGGACCTTCTGATCTACAAAAGATCCGGACGAATGGGCAGAGTAACACAGCTTAACAAACCCTCCTGGATATTTTCCCTAGGCATGCTCTCAGCAAGCCTAAACAAAAGGGCAGCTCTGGAGAAGGTTTGATGAAGGCAAAATTCATGCTGCTGCCCCATCATGAGCTATGAAACATATGCACCCCAGCTGTGTATTTATTGTTGCTTTCCCCTCTGAAGGCCATGTCAAAAGGTGTGTATTGAGTGAAACTCGTTACAAACTGTAAGCTTAAATTTCTGACTGCGATATGAATTTCTAAGATTACAATGGAAACATTTTGGCAGATAAATACTCATGAACCCAAAAATCCAATCCAGGTAATAAAGTAGCCTAATCAGTAAGACTCAAACTTAGATGTGCTCATATCTTGAGTACTGTACACTGTTCCAGTCTCCACATCTCACAGTTGCCTTGCAAGGACAGACTAAAAAGGCTGAGGGGGAAGAGTGTCTGAGATTTACAAAATTATGAAAGTGGTGCAAAAGGTGAATGGAGAACTTCACTAAACCCCAAAACACTAGAATTGGCATTTAAACTAGTGAGAGGTTGGTTTAAAACAGATAAAAGACACTTCTTCTATCATATATTTTTTACATAGCAGGCAGTGAACTTTTCAACTTGCTACCACAGAAAGCTGTGGAAACAGAGAGTAGCTGTAGGGTAGAACAATTTGGGAACAAGAGGTCTATAAACAATCTCAAGAAGGAATAGGCAGGGAATACACCTTCTAACAACCCTCATACAATAAAAGTGGATGCTGAGAAAGTAGAAGGGGAAAGGACTGTAAAGAGTGGCCAAGCTTGCACAGACTGCATAGCTATCATCTCCTAAATCCATTGCTATCAGAGAGCACTGGACTGTGAGCTTTGGATGAAGAAAGTAGGTATAAATAATTCTGAAAAATATACAGAAAAGGCACAGTCTTCAAAGATAATAGAAAATAACAAGAGCCTGCTTCACCTCATTTGCATGCTTCTCCATGTAGTTGAATGTGTACTCATCGGCATCCACCAAAAGAAAGTTGTGACCATGGAAACAAACTCTGGCTCCAACAAACAGATCCTGAGCCTTGAAGTATTCAGATGGCTCACTCTTAAAAAGCTCCTGCCCAGGCTTCTTAATGCGACCTCTTTCCAAGAACTTCCCACCATGTATCCCTATGGAAATAGAATTCTTAATGATTAATTGTGGCTCTACTTTGAAAAAAGAAGAAAAACCCCAAACACCCAAAAGAAGAGGCAAAAACCTCTCCAAACCAGTTTATTTGTATTTAAATATTAATTTTCATCCTTGAGTTTCTTGTCTCGTAATATACTGTCCCCCTCCCTCTCAGTGCAAAAAGAACTGTCCCTGTCAGTGTCCACAGCAACAGTTATATTGTGCATATTCTGTGGCATGTATCACTTGAATGCCTACCAAACACCTTTCCCTTTTTTCTTTTCTTTAAAATGGGTCAAAAATGGGTCTATTCAAATCATTCCCATAACCCTGTTGCCAGCTTTGGGACTGCCCCTTGAGAAATATAAGAAGCAAAACGTAAGATGCAGGCAATTACCCTTGAACTGTTAAAGAAAGAGAAAATTTCACAAATTAGGACAACACAGTCCTACAAAGATCACAAATTCTGCTGCAGGGTAGTTCTAGCTTGTTTTTAAGGGCTTTTGAATGTAAAATAGTGATAGGAGTGATACAACACTATCTTCCTCAAAGTGTTCTGCCCATGCAATTTAATTGTGATCTGTTATTTCCCTTGTGAGTTGGGCATGTTACATTATTTCTTTTCATATTATAATGATTTTATTCATGACACCGGAAACTGCATGTGGTACTCAAGGGTCTATAAGATACTAAAAGGAACATTTTGCTTACCGGTAATGTGCTCTCATGCACTACAAGATTGCATTGTGTGTACCAAGCTTTCTAGAAAACATTCTGTCACATGTTTAGTTTCACCAGGATATGTGTCCTACCACAACTTTGGAGTGCCTGGGATTTGTTTCCTGTTTATATTTGAGCTTTCAAGCCAAAAGCCAAAAGCATACTTTAGTAATGTTTAATGACATCTTACATATTAGGTACTGATGTAAGTTCAATGAAAGGCTGATGAACAATGTAATAAAATGCCTTTTATAGTCAAAATTAGAAATGAATGTGAAACCCAAACTACTTATGAAACCAGATTTTGGAGCAGGTTTGTCTTAATTGCTTTATTAGCACTATAAAAGCAAAAGACAAAAAATACACTATGGTAGTGGTCAGATCTAGCTTGACTCAAAAAACATTTCAAATCACTAATGTAACTCGAGTCTTAACACATTCCTTTTCCCCTAGCTATTAAAATAAATATGAAAATTTGGGTTATATAATCCTGGTAACTCTTTGTAATAGTTAAATAGAACTGGTCTCTGTAACATTGGAATTTCATTTTTGTCTCTATTTCCCTGCAATTGTGCACTTAGATTGGAAACTCACTGTAATATCTCTGTTCCGTAATTGTTTTTTAAATGTTATGGGTTAGTTCATTTCAAGTGGTATAAAGAAAAACAACCAAAAATATCTCATTGGGTTAGTGATTTTACACTGAAATCTGATGAGAAATTTTGATGGAAATCTACAAAAGCCAGGCTCAAAGCACAAAATAAACACCACAACCAAAGACCCTCTTCCATTAAGATCAGATCAGACTTTTGCAGGTGTTTGTACAGCTGTTGGCTTGCTCTTACACCGAGTAAAAAAGTGGTTGTGCTCTTCTGCATGGGGAGCCAAAGTTCTCATGCTTTGACCCCTTTCTCAAAAAGTGTTTCAAGATGTCCAGGCCTGTATATTTTAAATGCAGTTTCCCAGTGTTATTAACAGTGTGAAGTACCTCACTACAACCTTCAGAATGTTGGACTGACAAAAGTAAGGGCAACTTATTACTTCTATTCTAGGACTGAGATTTGAAACATTTTCACTTGTCAATTTGCATCAACTCATGCAAATAAAAAGGCAAAAAATATCCCTTTGAACCTGTGCACAAAAGGGATGGTTATTTTGGGAGTTATTTACTGTTTTAACACATCCCTTCTCTAAGACGTGCTCAAGCTTACTCTTCCCCCACCCCATCCACTTCAATATTTTTCTTTCTCACATAAAAATGTTCTTCCATTTTGCATGTCTTGGTCCTTTTTCTTTGCTGCTTTTATCTGAACTCTGCAAAACCTTCTCATTCTTAACCTGAAAGAAACCCATTCACTTTTTCTTCAAACATGACTAAAATGAGGGGGAGAGAGAGAGAAGAGAAAGAAGAGAAAGGGGGAAGAAAGAAGGAAGGTGGGAACAAAGAAACTCAGGATATGTATTGCAGCCCTTGGGTGTGGCAGAAGGACCTGAATTTTTGAGTGTGCAAAACCTCCTTGGACAGTGTTAAATAACTGATAAGGGTGCAGCAAGCCAAACCTGGTGCAGTCTTGTCCTCACTGCCTTGCAGGAGAGTTTTCTGGAGTTAAGCATCCTCCAGGAGGGGTTCCAGGCTCTCTGGAGCCTTGTCTAGTTGCAGTGATGCAAAGGTGTGACCAGGAGTGACCGAATGGGCAATACATATGATTATATATATATGATATAATTTAACAATGCAGCTGTACCTTTAGACCTTCATGTCTCTGGATATAGAGAATGCCAATCAAAAATTTCATTCCTGAGTGGAGAACTGAGCTGCTTTTGAGGCTCACAGCAGCATTACATAACAAAACCATATATACATATATATAAAAGTGTATGTGTATTTAGCTGTAATAAAAATTTCATAAGTTACAGGCCACTGGACGGCAGGAAACTAGTGAAATAACAATGACAGGACACTGCTGCCATAAACAATGCTAAATCTTGATGTTCCAGTGGAGAGCAGGGCTTACTGGGAATGCTCGTTGAAGCCTAAGCATGTACTCTACACGTTTTCAAAACGTATCTCAGAGAATTGCTTGTATCCTAGTTGGGGGTGAGGTTCCTATTTATGAATTCTTAATATAGTTGGATACAGACAAGGATGCCATTAGAAGTTCTTTGCACTGAAAAGGCTCAGGCCTTCCCAAAAACGTACTCATGTGCAGGGGGTAGCCAAAAGGACTTAGCAGCACCACTGGCACAGAAAAAGTTCCCCAGGAATACAGAAGTGTCTAGATATTCACCACACCTTCATTTTATATGGATGTGATGTGCATCATAGGTCTGAGAAAGATTAACTTCAGAAATCATTTTCAGTAAAGGCTTAAGCGTAGGGTGTCAAGAATACTTAGTCCTTAAGCTGAATAACTGGACCCTACAAAGTCACCTGCTAGCAGCAAAGCCTGAAGCAAAGGGAAGGGAACAGTCCTCCCTAGTCTTTCCTCTAAACAGTGAGCTGGAAGTACCAAATAGGCAAGTTCTGAGCACAGTGAGCTGGTCACACTGCAGGGTGTACCTCAAATAACATACTAAGGTGCTCTGTGCCAAGAAGCTGATACAAGGCAACTTTGGCAGTATAAAAAGAGCTAGCCATAAAGTTCCACAAGAGCTTAATATGGTAACTAAGGAAACCTTCTATTACTCACTTTTCCTTATCTTTGGGAGAATGTGATTTCCTGATTTCTTTTTCTCTCTGTAGTTTTATCAGAGGCTGACAGCAGCTTTTAAGAGTCAGTCCTTCAACTGCACGTTGAGAGGTGCCAGAGTACTTCTGGATGTTAACTGCTCTGACACTGCTCCTGCAGATGTTTTGTGGGCTTCAACAGAAATACCCTAATGTCTCCAACAGGGTCATGTTTAGCCAAGGCTTCCTAATCTGTCTGAGTGACAGAATGACTTTCTGACATCCCTCCCAGTGCTATGTACTTCTATCCATGCATAAGACACTCAAAGGAAATAAAAACATGCTTGAAAATCACAAAACCTTTCATACCCTCAGTTGGAGGCAGCCTACAACAGAAAACAGTGGTCGAAAGAATCTAATCATTACAACATTGAGTGACCATGCTCCAGCAATAGAATAAATGTGATCAAGCAATTGAGAAGTAACAAAGCATTTGTCACTTCAACATTGATAGTCTGGCTCTTGAAATTCAATTTTGTATACACACACATGTAAAGACACTAGCACAGGGCAGTCTTTATTCTTTATTGCTCAACATTACATCATTAATGTACGTTAAAAAATATAACAGCTGTTTTGCTTTCATGAGCTGCTTCTATACAATGAATGCTATATTGATTTCATAACACCTTAACAAAAAAAAAAAAAGGATTTATTCTTTCATTCTTGATGTCTCACATTTTCCTGTTCCTATTTATCATCAGTTATAATACAATTCCTGTAAGTTATCCGCAACAAAAGCAAATGTTTAAAGGCCAAATTTGCAAATTAAAATGTAACAAAAGTTCAAATGCATTAAACTTCCAGTTCCCAAAGGATATTCTGAAGTACTGTCATACAATAAAGAGTGTTATTCTGAGTGCTGAAGATTATAAATTACTATGACATTCAGCTATGCAAACTAGTGCAGCAGAGCTGTTGATGTAATTCGCATTGCATTTAGAAATCCACATCCCTGCTTCTGCTAGTGCTGTCTGGCACAATGTTTATTGTAAGTGCTTATGAAATGAGTGTGGCAACTTGGGAGTGATTGCAAGACATTAGTACATCTCACCTGAGTTTCGTTGTACATGTTCAAAAACTGAAATGGTGTCATCACTCAGGAAGTAGGAAATTATTAATTTCCTATCCTTGTCAATAGGACTATCTGTGATGAGTTTTGCAAGAAAGCGCAGTATGTTACTTTCCATGCCAATTCTAAAAAGCAAAAGAGGTAAGAAATAAAAAACAGAGTATGAGAAAAGTTTTCATCACTAAGAGATGCATCCTCCTGAGTTTTGTAGCATACATTAATTGTGTTATTTCTGGACCAAGCAGTGAAATGGCAGAAATTTCCCTACTTTATCAGAAAACATTTTCAGCTTAAAGAACCAGCTAAAATCAGCCAGATAGAAAGGAATAATTTTCAGGGGAAAATTATTTCTCTGCTGCAAGTCTGGAATGAATTTGTATTCAAATGCAGTTGCAAATCAAGCTCAAAGGTTCTTTCTAGAAAAGTTATGAAGGAATAACATCTTTAGTTATGTATATTTTCAAATCAAATTCTGAATTGAAATACATACTAGGATTATTTCCACAAAATTAGGCCCACCAGATGATCTTACTAGTTAGATATTTGTTATGTGATTATGTTTTAAATGATTTACAGTACCGCTATATGCACTATCAATACATTCCCAAGCCTGCTTCTAATAGCATTCTTCTTTTATGGAGGTTCTATGGGTGAATCTCTAGCATGTAACTTTGCTTTCAGCTTAGGCTTCAACACCACACCCCTACCAAATAATTTTGTAATGGAAAGTAAAAGGTTAATGCTTTAATATTGCTACAGCAAACTGCATGAAATTCATCAGACAAAAAAAGTAAATGCCAGAAAGTCAAACAGGAAAACAAATCACTGTTGGAATGATTCCTGACTAACTCCTCAATGCAGAGTTCCATGAAATTCCCACTGAAAACAGCAGAAGGGAATCATAGAATCAACTACTTTGGAAAAGACCTTTAAGACCATCAAGTCCAACCTTAAAAACATAAAGGGGAAAGCACGAATGCAGTCCCCACTACCACAAATTATGCAGCCAGGTTTCCCACATTTGCGGAAATCACAGGAGTCAACACATCCAGAGTGCAGGGGATGAGGCTCACCCTGTGAAAACAACCTGCCTGATCATGGTATCTCCCCTGCCAGATAAGGGTATGTGAGATGGAAAGGTCAGAATATTTGCTTTCTCAAAAGGGAAATTTTCCTGAGTTTGGAGAAAATTGGAGTACCATGTTACTAAACCAGTCCTCATGCTCCTGTCCCTTAAAGTCTGATGAGCTGCATATTTTGCTAAAAAAAATAAATAAATCTCTACTTAACATTTATCTCCTTCACAAAAAGACATAATTAAAAAAGTTGGAATTATTTTTCACTGAAATACCTGTCTTTCTCCAGGAATTTCTTGAAATCTTTTGCTGGAGGCTTGAGAATTAGACCCATACAGGAGCACAGAGAATCCTCTTCAGAACCAAATCCAGTATACGGAGGAAATGTTTTTTCTGGTTTTGGAGGTGGTGGAGCCTTATATGGAACTGGGGTGAAATCCTCTGCAACAAAGACAGTAAAGACTTACTAATTACTGTTCTGATGAAGCCATTCTACTAAGGATTTAAACTTTCAATATGAATATTTATTCACCTATTTCTGTAACAGAGCACTGATCAAAGTCAAACCAGGATCCCTCTTACTGTTACAGGGTAGAAAAAAATTCCATAGAAGCCAGCAGCAAAATTACTGTTTCTTCAAAAGTTTCAGGATTTCATCTATAATCTTAAAAATGTTTAACAAATACCATTAACGCAAAAGGAAAGCCAAACAGTTTTTAAAAGGGATAAATAATAAATTAACAATACTGAATCAGTTTTTCCATTTTATCCTTTGAGACAACATGATTAAGTAAATACTTGGTTTAGGAGTTTCCTGCCTTCTCCTTTTTGCCAGATGAAAATAAATGCCTCAATAAATAAAATTTTGTTCGTTATTTAAATCATACACATATAAGAATAATTTCGTACATTTAAGCCAATAGCTTCAGTCCACATGTCACTTTATCCAGAGTTTCAGAAGCTTGGTTTTTCCTCATTTTCCTCAGTCTCACATCTTTCTGCGCAGTGATCAACAGTCCCAGCTGTCCCACATACACATCAGGAGCTCTCTTGACTCAGCAGAGACATGTCTGGTCAGGGACCTTCACTCACTCCCCATATGGGTTTCTCCCAAAAGCCCTGCTATGCTATGGACCCTCCTTACTCCTCTCTTGGTGAAAACCTTACAGTCCCATTTGGCCCCTTGTTACTTCCCTGCACTGCTCTTTTACTGCCACACAGCTTCAAGCTGCCAGTGGGGTTCACATAAAACTTCAACAGAGTAATACAGTCTGCTGGTTAAATAAGGTTAATGGAAAAGGTGAGAAGAAAAAAGTAACTTGTATATGGCAGAAAGTAAATAGTCAGACCTGAGTCACAGAATCATAGAATCATAGAATAGTTAAGGTTGGAAAGGACCTTAAGATCAACTAGTTCCAACACCCCTGCCATGGGCAGGGATACCTCACACTAAATCCTATCACCCAAAGCCTCGTCCAACCTGGTCTTCAACACTGCCAGGGATGGAGCATTCACAACCTCCCTGGGCAACCTGTTCCAGTGCCTCACCACCCTAACAGGAAAGAATTTCCTCCTTATATCCAGTCTAAACTTCCCTTGTTTAAGTTTTAACCCGTTACCCCTTGTCCTGTCACTGCAGTCCTTAATGAAGAGTCCCGCCCCACCATCCCTTATAGGCCCCCTTCAGATACTGGAAGGCTGCTATGAGGTCTCCACGCAGCCTTCTCTTCTCCAGGATCAACAGCCCCAACTTTCTCAGCCTGTCTTCATACGGGAGGTGCTCCAGTCCCCTGATCATCCTCATGGCCCTCCTCTGGACTGGTTCCAACAGTTCCATGTCCTTTTTATGTTGAGGACACCAGAACTGCACACAATAATCCAGGTGAGGTCCCACAAGAGCAGAGTAGAGGGGCAGGATCACCTCCTTCGGCCTGCTGGTCACATTCCTTTTGATGCAGCCCAGGATACGGTTGGCTTTCTGGGCTGCAAGCACACACTGAAGCTGGCTCATGTTCATTTTTCTCATCAACCAGCACCCCCAAGTCCTTCTCCACAGGGCTGCTCTGAATCTCTTCTCTGCCCAACCTCCAGCTGTGCCTGGGATGGCTCCGACCCAGGTGTAGGACCTTGCACTTGGCATCGTTAAACTTCATGAGGTTGGCATCAGCCCACCTCACAAGCGTGTCAAGGTCCCTCTGGATGGCATTCCTTCCCTCCAGCGTATCAACAGAACCACACAGCTTGGTGTCATCGGCAAACTTGCTGAGGGCACACTCAATCCCACTGTCCATGTCAGCGACGAAGATGTTGAACAAGACCGGTCCCAACACCCATCCCTGAGGGACACCACTCGTTACTGGTCTCCAGCTGGACACTGAGCTGTTGACCACAACTCTTTGTGTGCAGACATCCAGCCAGTTCTTTATCCACCGAGTGGTCCATCCATCGAATTGATGTCTCTCTAGTTTAGAGACAAGGATGTCGTGTGGGACAGTGTCGAACGCTTTGCACAAGTCCAGGTAGATGACATCAACTGTTCTACCCCTGTCCATCAGTTCTGTAGCCCCATCGTAGAAGGCCACCAAATTGGTCAGGCAGGATTTCCCCTTAGTGAAGCCATGCTGGCTGTCACCAAGCACCTTGTTGTTTTTCATGTGCCTTAGCATCCCTTCCAGGAGAATCTGCTCCAAGATTTTGCCAGGCACAGAGGTGAGACTGACTGGTCTGTAACTGCTGGGGTCATCCATTTTCCCCTTCTTGAAAATGGGGGTTATATTTCCCTTTTTCCAGTCATCGGGAACTTCACCTGACTGCCATGATTTCTCAAATATGATGGCCAGCGGCTTAGCAACTTCATTTCCCAGCTCCTTCAGGACCCGCGGATGGATCTCATCAGCACCCATGGACTTGTGCACGTTCAGATTTTTAAGATGGTCTCGAACCGGTTCCTCTCCTACAGTGGTCCAAGGTCTTCATTCTCACAGTCCCTGTGTCTGCCTTCCAAGACTTGGGTGGTGTGGTCAGAGCCTTTGCCAGTGAAGACCGAGGCAAAGAAGTCATTCAGAACCTCAGCCTTCTCCAAATCCTGTGTAGCCAGTTCTCCCAAGAGGTTCCTGAGGGGGCCTACGTTCTCCCTAGTCTGTTTCTTATTTGCTATGTACCTGTAGAATCCCTTCCTGTTATCCTTAATATCCCTAGCCAAGTTTAATTCTAACTGGGCCTTAGCTTTCCTAACCTGGTCCCTAGCTTCCTGGACAGCATCCCTGGACTCTTCCCATGCCACCTGTCCTTGCTTCCACTTATAATAAGCCTCTTTTTTCATTTGAGTTTTCCTCAGCAGCTCCTTATCCACCTAAGGAGGTTTCCTGGCCCACCTGCTGCACTTCCTTCTTGTCAAATGGAAGAATCAAATGGAAACATAAATCACAGGAACACAGGATAATTCAGGCTGGCCAGGACCTTGGTAGGTCTCTTGCCCTGACCCTCCTAAACTTGCACTGGATGGTCCATGATTTGCCTGTCCTGGCAGACCCAAAAGAGGCATAGTACCTTGATGAGGTCTAACAAGCACTCAGAGGAGGGCAATAATCACCGTCTTGATATTGGGGCAGCCCAGGCTGTGGCTGGCCCTCTGTCTTATGGCCCTAAGCCCAGCTCGCTGCCCCCCACAACCTGCAACAATATGGGTGCAATTAGTAGGTCAGAGCCAAGCAGTGATGCATGGAGCAGCACCACCTCCACACCCAGATGGGTTGGAGATGCTGCCATGAAGAAAGGAAAGCTGGCTGGGCTAGCAAGTGAAAGACAAGCACCATGAGGCAAACTGAAAGAAGAGTGATCACAAACCACAGCCCAGGAGGCAAAGAGTGATATAAGTGACCGGTGTATCAAAGTGGGTCCCGTAAAATAAAGGGATTTTCTTTAAAACTTAACTTTTCTACCCAGAACTGAAGAGAGTTGAATAACCTAAACTTGTAGCATAGGTTTCAGAGCAAATAGAGGAGAATGACAAAACTGCTGTCACTCAGAATGTTTTCTAAACTGGTATGTGAATGAAATTTTTAAAAATGGCTGTATCAGACGATCAAAATCACATACTCTCTTAAAATCTTGACTAATAGCAGTGTGTTGTTGAAAAATAAGTTGAAAAGTGGTATGTAAGTTGAAAAAGATTGAAAACATTCACATGCTAGAGTTTTTCCCCTACTTGAAAACACAATGAGACCTCCTTTGGCGTTTACCTCTTAGACGAAAGGTCTGACTCGAAGAGCTAATGCCTTCATCTTAATCAGTCAAAAAGGGGGTTGGCAACACCATGCCAACATTTTTCTCCTTGTAAATCACATGTGTCCTTTCTGCAATCCAGAAGCAGATGATATATAAAGTCCATTCCTAAGTTTTCAAAGCAACCTTCACCACGAAAGAGTGCGTGCATGCAATACACTACTTCCTAAACACCACTTACGAGAAAACTGCCTCTCGAGGCATTTTCCATGTGCCCTATTATGCAAATGACAGAGGCGACTCTTGTCACAACAAACACGGAGGCCTCAAGCGGACTGTGCCGGGTCGCTGCGTGCCGCTAACACGAGTGTCCCACAGCCGCGCGGGGCGGCTCCCGCGCTACCACAGCGACACCTAGTGGTGGCGTAGCAGGAAGGTCCCTCGCAGCTCCCCCACCGCGCTCTGGTCCGGAACCCGGGTTTGTCTCATCAGCACCTTGATGCTTTTTATAAACCTTGAGGTTAAATTTTTAATTACGCAATACGTTGTCTGAGGAGGAGGACTTGGGGATGTTGACCGACGAGAAGCTCAATGTGATCTGGGCTGCATCAAAACCAGGGTGACCAAGATTGAAGGACGTGATTCTGCTCCTCTTGCTGATAGCTCTCTACTCTGAGACCCCACCTGGAGTACTGCGTTCATCTCTGAGCCCCCAACACAAGAGGGACGTGGACCTTATCAAGTGAGTCCAGAGGAGGCCATGAAGATGATCAGAGGGCTGGAGCACCTCTCCTATAAAGACAGGTTGAGAGAGCTGGGCTTGTTCAGCCTGGAGAAGAAAAGGCCCTAGGAAGACCTTAGAGCAGCCTTTCAAGTACCTGAAGGGGGCCTGCAAGAAATCTGGAGAAGGATCTTTACACGAGCAGGCACAGATAGGACAAGACATAATCTTGAGTTAGATATAAGGAGGAAGTTCTTTATTGTGAGGGTGGTGAAGCACTGCAACAGGCTTCCCAGAGACGCTGTGGCTGCCCCATCCCTGACAGTGTTCAAGGCCAGGTTGGATGGGGCTTTGAGCAACCTGGTATAGTGGAAGGCGTCCTTGCCCATGACGGGGACATTTAAGGTCCAGCTTTCTGGACCTTAAATTTGGAAGGTGATCTTTAAGGTCCCTTCCAACCCAAACCATTCTGTGATTCTGTGATTAACCTCCACTA